TCGCCGCCGAGGTCGCATTCGCATTCCTGGGGTTCGGAGGGCACCGCGCGGATACGCCAGTCGTTGAAGAAGGGGGCGGTCGATGCGGAGGACAGCATGGACGAGCAGGGGGATGTGGAGCTCCAACCTTCAGTGTAGACAGAGAACTGACTGAGGTGTACTGGTGCGGTGTGTGAAAGACCCCCACGGGTAAGGCCGACGGTTGGATTGAAGGTGTCGTAGCCCCAGCTTGACTGCCGTGAGGAGGGATCAGAGTGCGGAGTCATGGATACGGAGGCGATGCTAGTGAGGATGGCGCGTACTGTCGAAGAAGGTACGAGGGAGGGGGAATGGCAAGGCGCAGGAGGTTGGACCGCGGGACGTGGGCTGGGGAGGCAGGGACGGACGGGTGCCAAGGGAGGTGCGGTAGGCCTTAAGTGGGCAACCGCACGACCGAAGAAGTCGTCGAGATGCTTCTCGCCGTCGGATTCGTCGGAGTCGTCGGGCGCGGGCGGGCGCCGAGACAAGGCATCCTGGGGGATCCCTCGGGAGGCCGGGATGTGCTGGAACGTAAAAGAGAAGAGCGAGAGGTACGCCACCCAGCGCGTCATCGGGGCATTGGGAAGATCCGGTTCAGACAGCATCTGAGCTAGGAACTGTGCATCTCCCCGTAAAAGGAAGTAGAGTCCCCACAGGCGATGGCGGAGCTCCTTGACAGCACGGAAGCAGCCATAGAGCTCGCATTTTGGCTGTGAGTACCGTGACTCCGTCGCCGAGAACGTGCAGCCGCCATACAGCGCAGGGTGGAGATCACCGTCGTGGTATTGTGCGAGAACCCAACCAGCACCGTGGAGCGAGGAGTCGACGGAGAGCACGATGAGGCCTTCCAGCGGACCTTTGACGCCATCCACCGCTTCGCGAGTGATAGCGCGTGCGGCTGGGTAGTTGATGGAACGCAGTACCGGGGCTGAGGACACGAGCTTCTTCAAGGAATCTATGGCGTCCCGGGCGTCCCGGGGCAGGGCGAAGCGTTCAGTGGGGTCCGATCGAAGGAGTAACGTCAGCGGCTTCGCAATGAGCGCGAAGTTGGGGATCCATCGCCGACCGACGCCGGCAACCCCGAGGAAGCTGCGGACGTCAGTGATAGACTCCGGATATGGCCACTTGAGCACCTTCGCCGCGAGACCGTGGCTCAACTCCCAACCTGCTTGTGAGACGACACTCCCGACGAGGGTCGCCTTTGGCGTCGCGGGGCAGAACTTGAAGCCAGAGGCAGTCACGTGGGCGGTTTCGAAGCGGTGGAGGACGCGGTCGAGAGCCGTGCAGTACTCGTAAATGAAACGGCGCACAGGCGAGGTGGGTGTGATGGACGCGTCATCGTACGTCGTTGGTGGGCCCTTTACGCCACAGTCATCCACGAAGATGTCGGCGAACTTCGGGATGTCGTCTGCGAGGATATGTTGTGTGCAGCGAACGAAGTCAGCTACAGCATTAGTGGCGCCTTGCGGGAGAACTGTACACCGCCCAGTGACCTCCATGCATTGGAAGGTTGTCAAATCTCTCGAGCGAACGTCCAGGGTCCGAGCATCGTAGCCGGAGAAGAGGTCAATGACACCGTAACAGGAGAGGCCTGCAAAACTCTCCGCAAAGTCGTCCGGACGCGGGGGCAGGGCGGCGTCGCGTATAGTGACTGCATTCAGGGCCTGGAGGTCGTGCACGACACGGAGAGAGCCGCTTTTCTTGCTGACGGCGAAGACGCGAGACCGGTAAGACGAGCAGGAGCTCTCATACTTGCCTGAGTTGAAGTTCGAAGTGAGGATAGCCCGAACTTCGTCCTCTGCGGCCTTCGGAACAGGGATCGGCTTCTGCACCCATGGTGTGTGCTCGATGACCGGAATGACGTAGTCCGGGAAGTACTCGCGGTTGAACGTCCCACGCTCCGCATCGGTGAAGGCGAGGGCCCCGCGGCGTGAGCTGATGATGTAGGTGACGAGGTCGAGCTCCGCTGGGCGGAGGAAACCCTCCGGGATGGTAGCCATGATCAGGTCGAGCCGTTCTTGCGTAAGGCGGTCGCAGGGGACAAAAGAAGAACGCGCAGGTGGGTGGACGGGCAGGGGTGGCAGGACGGGGATCGGCAAGGGGACGAACGCTTGTGCGGAGAGATCAGGCATTGTCGTTGGCACAGGGCGAACTTTGCGCGCAACAGGTTTGTACCGGCGACCAGGAGCAGCGAGACGGGTGGGCGGAGAAACGGATAGTGCGCGAGAGACGAAATCGGAGTTGACGGGGCGGAGGGGAAGGTCACATGCATATTCACAGGTTCGCAGGAGGCGATCAAAAGTCGGGGGTGGGTTGAATGTAGAAATGTAGGTGTTGTCAAACGAGTCTGTGCGGAACGAGGGATGACCAAGGAGGATATGAAGGGTGCGACCGAAACAGGGCAGCGGGGGCGGTGTCGCACTGGTAGAATCCACGCCCGCTAGTGAAAAGACGTTGCCGGAACAGTCAGGGAGTCCGACGTGAACACAAGGCGGTCCGTGTTGCGGGAGTTGTTCGCGGTGCAGAGCTGGACGGTCACCGCGACCCCAGAGGTTGTCCCGGTGGGGTACGCCGTCATGTGTACGCCGCCATCGCGCGAGTACGTGAGACTGGCTACATGCGCTGCAAGCCAGGGCTGTCCCAGGATGCCGCCGTACGCGCTACGGTCCGCCGGGGTGACGAAGAAGTGATGGTCGAAGTTACGACCCGAGATCTGGACCGGAGCTTCACGGCAGCACCCCAGGAGCGCGACGGGGTCGCCTCCAATGCCTTTCAGCGTCCAGCGTGCACCATCGCGGTCGATCGCGAGGCGAGACCTCTCCCAGATGCCACTGTTGATGAGGTTGAGCTCGGAGCCGCTGTCAACGAGGAACTTGCACTTCTGGTTCCCGAAGACACCCTCTACGAAACCTGCAGCCATGGCGAATAGGCGAGTCGATGAGCCCGGTGTTGTGCTGATCGCATCCGCATAACGAAGAATGACGTCGTCGAGGAGTTCGGAGTCTGCGTTGTAGGACAGGATGGCTGTGGAGGAGGGCTCGTCGGCGGGCCTGGGTACGTCATCGTCGTCCGACGAGACTTCTTCGATGTACGATGCGGGGACTGTATCAGTTGCGAAGGATGCAGCGGCCGGGGGCGTGTCCGGTGTCGAGTAGTCCCGGCGGGGTTTGACGAGCGCAGCGACCTTCCTCTGTAAGCTTGGTGCCATAGCCAACGCCTCGCGCAGCGTCATAGTGATGTGAGAATCGAGGAGACGATCGTGGACGTTGTCGAGGACGATGCTCTGCTGGACTTGAGAGGTGAACTTGAACGGCTTCGCAGGCGAACGACTGAACGAGTGGTGAGGCGGGGCGTCAGCATCAGGAACCTCTTCGACGGTTGTGGGGTGCTTCTTCAGACGGTATTCTTGGAGGAAGCCTTCTTCCGTGTTGCGAAAGTGCGGAGGCGGCACACCGGGCGGAAATGCGGGGGTGAAAGCTGGCTCGGTAGGGCTGACGGCGGGTTCGAAGCGGACCGTCTTTGGAGGAGGCGTCTGTGCCTTCGCTTTCGACCGGGTGGTGACAGGGAAGGACGACGCAGCAGCCGGGAAAGCGAAGGACCCCGCGTATGAGAACACGGGCTCATCATCGAGGTAGAGGCCAGCCGCGCGCGCAGTGGCTCCGAGCACCTGGGCGTTGCCACTCTGTGAACGCATCCACGCGGCGAGGCCTTGAGGGAGTTGATTGAACCGCGGTAGGTAGCCTTTGTCCGTACGCTCCAACATGCCGGTGGTAGGATGGTACTGCAGGACACGGTCCTGGATGAGGGCGGTCGTCTCTGGGCAGTTGCGCATGCTGAACGGGTGTGAGAGCCCGTTGTTCTCGACGCCGCCGCACATGTAACAGACCCGTTGACCGGGAGGACCAGGGTTCGTGCCGGAGGGCTGTGCGGCGTACGCCGTGGGGTACCCCGCAGGCCGTGTTGGACGACGCCGTGCAAAAGCTGACTAAGAACCGCAGGAAGGCCATCGACGACTTCCACCGCCGTTACGAGACCCTCATCAATAAGGAAGGCTTCTCACCTGGCTTCTGGGTCCTCCTACTGGAATCTTGGCTCGATGCGCAGATGGGCATGAAGGGCGCGCTCCGCTGGGCCGGTCCCTACATCGTCGAAGAGCGCCTTTCCGGGGGTTCCTACAGACTGCGCGAAATCACTGGCACGCCAATGCGTAACACCGCACCGGGCGCGCGCCTGAAGCTGTTCTACTTCCGCGGCGACCACCAGCCGACCTTGACTGCGACGCTCCCCATTGCGCCACGGTCCACCGCAGCGTTCAGCTATATCAGCGCCTTTGCCGCGCCCATCGAAGTCCTCTCCATGAGCAACCGCTTGCACTGCCCGCCGCGTTCCGAACCCATCACCTACTCGTGCAACCCCGTCCAACATGCCTTCGGTGCCGGTCGCGCGTCCGTGACCTGTGACGGCGCGTGCCTCGCAGCGCCTGAGATGGAGCCTTACCTCCTGGATAGTGACGATGGTTCGGGTGTCAATGTCGACATGCGCTTGTCTTTTCCACCGACGCTCTGCACGATTACTTTCGACCCCGCAGTCGACCCTATCAGCGCGACGCCCTGGCTCACTGTCAATGCACCGTCCAACCTCATCGCCTTGGGCCGCCTCGCGAAGTCCTTCAATGCGTGGCCTCAACCCGGTCCGTCCTTCGGGGCCCGGCCGACGACTCCGCCTCCGCGGGCACCTCGCCGGGCTCGCCGCCAGGTCCACGCTGTCTATGATCCGGTTTCCGGTCGTTTCACCCCTGTCGGCGATGAGCACGGGTCAACCGCCTTGGGAGGGTCTCTTTGATGTTTGTCAGGATCTCGAGGTCGAGATCTCAAGGGCCCCCCGGTTGTAGGAGTCCCGCTGCGCTGGGCGCTCGCGGGTACTCTGAAGCACGCGCGTGCGCGCGACAGAACACGGTCACGTGTCGACCGAGCAGCGCGCGGTCACAGAGCACACCCAGTGAAGAAGTAGTACCTGCACATGTATAAAAGTAGCACGAACGCACACGGAATGACCAGTTTTCCTCTCCCCCACATTTCACTCTGCTTTTCTCCCATCGCGTTTCCCTGCCCGTCTTCGCTCGTCCGTCGAACCCGTGTCCGATTACCCGTCGTATCCGTGAACGGGTTGAGGGCTGGCCCGGCATTGTGCACCCCCGCGTATACTACGCCCTGAGAGGAACCGGCAGGAGGAGCCAGCAGGCTCGGATCGGTGTGCGGCGGCACGGACGTCTGCTTTTTGAGTAGCTCGAGTTGCAAGCGAAGCGCCTTCACCTCCTTGCGCGTGGACTTGTGGCCACGACGTCCAGAGCGGACCTCGGAGTCCGAGTAGGACGAGAGCCTGTCGCGACGCGTCTTCTTCTTGCCCTTGCGCTTCGGAGGTGAGGCAGTGTCGTCCCCCGAGGAGTATGGTGCGGCGTCTGAGTCCGAAGAATCGGTCTCGCTATCAGAGCTGGAGCTGTCCGAGTCGGGTGCAACACGCTTGCGACGGCGACGGTAGGCGTCGATCCCACAGGATTCGTAGTACTCCGTGACTGCTGCGCAAACCTCCGCGACGGAAGCAGGGTTCGTCCGGGGTTCGAACTTCTCACCCGTACGCGTGTGGACGACGGTCTTCAGGGTGGGCCCGATCGAACCACGGAGAGAGTCTGGCAGGCCGATGAAGAACAGGTAGTCATGTTCCTTCCGCTCGAGGAGACTTTCTTCGACTAGGGTCCCACTGTACTTCATGAAGTCAAGGCGGTACTCGCTGAGAGCCTCTTCGGAGTCGACAGTTTGCTTCTTCCGACTCTTCGCCGCGAATGACCGAAGGCGCTGGGGCGGATAACGCGCGGCAGAGTCGCGGAAACGGAAGATGGAGTGGAGGAGCGCCTTGGCCGCGGCCCAGTCGGTCCCCTTGAAGACAGGTTCGCCAGCGAGACGGTTGCGGATGTCCGAGTCACAGTACGAGAGTACACACTTGGGAAGATCTTCACGTTTCGCGCCGACATTGTCCGCTATGGCCTCCAGCTCGAACAGGAAGTCCTTGACGTTCCGGCCCTTGAAGCGTGGGGCGGTCTTGGCGCGAGGCGCAGGCATCTTCGTCGCGTTTACCGACATGACAGGTTGTGCGTGCTGAGGTGGTGGGGTATGGATTCGATGCAGCGGCGGGGGAGTCAGGGAATGGGTGCGGTGCGATAGCGGGGGAGGCGAGAGGGGAGTCGATGCGCGAGGCCCTCTCTGGCGGGCAGTTGAAGTATCCCCCGTGCGTGCTTGATTCGCTCGGTTCTCTGGACGTGTGCTCAACCGTGATACTGCACCTCGGCCGTTTGGCGGCAATGGCAGCGGTGGTGTCGGTTTAGCTGCGAGCCGTGACGATCGGCGGCCCGGGCCCGTCGGGTTGTTCAAGTTTGATCGTAACTTGCTTGTCTGTGCCGAGGGCCTGGCGGTGCCTACTGCGCTAGCGCCATGTTCGATGGGATGAGTACCACTTGAGCTCGCCAAAGGCATTCTTGTAAAAATGCTGGCGTCGAGCGAGTCCGGGTGAGGGCGAGAGAGACGAGATTACCCCCCTGCGGTGGTCACCAATTGTAGAATGCCCTTCGACGGTGTCTCCTAGGCGAGACGTGTGAATAGGGTGAGCGCTGCGGATGCGCGGGGACGGATTCGGCGGTTACGCGGAGGGAAGACGGATACGACGGGTAATCGGACACGGGTTCGACGGACGAGCGAAGACGGGCAGGGAAACGCGATGGGAGAAAAGCAGAGTGAAATGTGGGGGAGAGGAAAACTGGTCATTCCGTGTGCGTTCGTGCTACTTTTATACATGTGCAGGTACTACTTCTTCACTGGGTGTGCTCTGTGACCGCGCGCTGCTCGGTCGACACGTGACCGTGTTCTGTCGCGCGCACGCGCGTGCTTCAGAGTACCCGCGAGCGCCCAGCGCAGCGGGACTCCTACAGCGCTCCAAGACCTGGACACTATCATTGGGTCAATACGGAATCACGGAGCGCGCACCCATGCAACTGAGGCCACGTTCCTGGCAAAGCAAGGGGGAACCGGTAGGAAGCGGAGCGGTGGGCCACCACACTACTGGAAGTGTGGGAAGGTCAGGGTGCAGAGGGATTGCCCGAACCATCACCCGTGGGGCGGTGGCAAAGGGAAAGAGAAGGAGATGGAAAAAGATGAGAAGGCGTTGACAGCGAAGGAGAAGAAGGGGAAGGCGGAGGAGAGTTCGGATGATGAAGGATACGCCTACGCTCTCATTGAGACGGGCGCCACGATTGACAAGGTCACGCTTACCACTATGAGCGCTGGCACATGGATCGCGGACACTGACACCACATCGCACGTCACACGTGAACAGCGCCTCTTCACCACCTACTCGCCCGTCACTGGCAAGTACCTCCAAGGCGCTGGAACCACTCCCATCCTCGGTTGCAGAACCATACACTTCACTTACAAGCACAACGGGAAGACTACCACCATCGACTTGCTTGACGTCATCCATGCACCCGGCATCCCGCACAACCTCATCTCAATCAGTCACGTCGAAGCAGCCAGACACATGGTTCAACTAGCTGGCGGCGAGATCAAATTCCTCAACCAGAAGGGGTGCGCTTACGCCTCTGGACGCCACGGGGGCAGCTATCTCTACGAGATGGACGGAGCGCCGGAGATTCCGGAGGTATCGTACCTGGGCGCTGTTTCCAGACCTATCCGCAAATGAACTTACGACGAATGGCATGCCATACTAGGGCACCCGGGGTTGAAAATTGTGGACGCAATGATGCGGAAGGAACTGGTGGACGGACTGGTGGTGAACAAGGGGACACCCACATAGGAGCAGTGCGAAGCATGCGTACAGAGGAAGCAGACGGTGGCACCATATCCAGCAGCATCGGAGACAGAGGTGGGAACGATCAGGGAGTTGATCGTGCTGGACACATGGGGGCCAGCCCAGACGGAGGGGATAGGACACGAGCGCTACGCTTGGGTGTTCAACGACGTGCACTCACGTATGTTAGAGGTGGCTTTCGGGAAGGAGAAGTCTGAAATCAAATCCCATTTCCACAAATACCACATGTGCCTGCAAACTCTCCACAGTGTCAATATCAAACGCATCCGCTTCAACAACGCGAAGGAGTTCCTCAGGGGGGAGTTCAGTGCTTACCTCAAGGAACATGGCATCATGATCGAGACTACCGCACCCAAGTCTTCTGGCCAGAATGGGATTGCCGAGCGCATCTTCCGGACCACACTGGAGCGGTTGCGCGCCATGCACATCGCTGCCGATCTACCCAAGTTCCTGTGGCCACAAGCTTTCACACATGCCATCTTCCTGAAGAACATTCTCCTGACTCGCGCACTCAAGGACAAAACACCCTATCAAGTGTGGCATAAGCGGAAGCCTGACATCTCTGAACTTCACGCCTGGGGTGCTGGGTTCTCATGTCAGCAGCGAAGAGATCAAAGCTTGATCCAAAATCAGAACCGATGTGCTTCGTCAGGATGGCTCCAGGGAGCAAAGCCTGGCTATACTAGGACAGGCACGCGTGGCGGATTGGAAAGTCACGCAACATTGTCTTTCGCGTGCGGAAGCCCACTCAACCTGTGGATGAGGATGAGGACGTATGGGAGTACATGGAGTACTTCGCCTAGCTGCTCGAGGGGGAGGATGTGGAGTCCAGCGAGTGTCAGGACGAAGAAGAAGGTGGAGAACCCCGAGGAGACGCGGACCAGAAACCCACACCCGAACCCGCACTCGCGCCCACACCTGAACCTGTGCTCACACCCGAACCCACACCTGCACTCACGCCCGCACCTGTACCAGAGGTCCCATGTCGTGCATCATGATTGGCAGGCAAGCTGCACCTAGACTACAAGGCACTTGCACACAACGGCGAACACGTCCCCATCACTGACGAAGCACTCATCACGTGCTTGCTCTCACTCTTCAGTGTTGAAGGGGGAGCAGGGAACGTCATTGAGCCACGCAACTTAAAGGAGGCACATGCACAACTGGAGTGGCCAGAATAGAGGTGCGTGATGGAGAGCGAGCTCGCGCAACTCATTAGACTTGGGGTCTTCGAGATTGTGCAGCTACTAGAAGGGTGGAGGATGTTACGTTCAAGACTTATTCTGGATGGAATACAGCCTAGGCGCCTTGTGGTTACGGTGGCTATGCTCTGGTGCTTGCGTGCTATCGAGCGAGTGTACGAGCGACGAGAGGATAGTATTGCGCGTGGCTGAGGTAGACGTAGTATACAGAGGAGATTCAAGTCTGGGGAGGGAGCGCTCTAGGGCGTCGTCCTTATATACAGGGGTGAGAGTGGGGAGTCACATTATCTACGAGTCATCGCCAGTCCACATGACACAGTCCTAGTCGTAGCGACACATTGTGACTAGGTACCACAGGAGGAGTCAGGACGAGTACACGATGAGTGGCGATGAGTATGTATGAGTCAGAGAGTACAGCATACGTATTTAATGGGTCTGCATATCGGGGGAGCGGGGGTTATGGATGGAAATTAAATGGGGGGCGACGTACTAACGTTCATTATCGTAACATTAGCTCCCTCTCCTGGGGAGGGTTGTCCCGACCTTCTACGCAGGGGTCGACGCGGTCGCGTCCGCGACAGGGGCATGACCAATGCCGATGGCCGTGAGGTCCGAAGCGATCTGGATCGATACCCGATCGACGTACTCCTGGAGGGGGAGGTGAGCACCCTTGTAGTTCTGGAGGATGGTGATGATCGGCTGGTCGAATTTCTCGCGGTAGACGTTCCACGGTTGGGTGTCGACGATGCGGTTCTCGATGACCTCGTCGCACGCGGCATCAATGTGTTGGGCAATGGCTTTGGCGACAAGGAGGTGGAGGTCCCGTCGAATCTTCGCGTGGACCTGGGGGAACCTGATCTCCAGGTACTCATAGAGGCGCGCAGGGGTGAACAACTCCGGCCAGGAGTCCAGTCGCGCTCCGAGGTAGTGGTCGACTCCGACGTGGGCGGTGATAACGTACCGGCCTGATCCCGCTTGGACGCGCCACCGAGGCGTGCGGGGAGGGGGATGGACGAGGACCAGTTCGTCGTCGTGGTAGTCGATGATCTCCGCCTCGAGCTTGGCGAAGATGTCGTCTAGGGCGTTGTGGTGGCGTGGGTGCGGGGATTCGTCAGGTCTGGTGAGGGTTAGGCGTGAGGAGCCTGCGAGGGTTCTGGGGGGGAGGTTGAGGACTCCGAATTGGACTCCCGGTTCCGCGTTCGCGGTCTGCGCTCGGACCCAGTTGCGGTGGACCATGAGGAGGGATTGGGCAGCGAGGAGGTCGGTGGTGGGCACAGGGGGTTCGTTCTCCTTGTCGGAGTTGTCTTCTTGCGTGTAGGGAGGAGGCTGCGGGGTGGAGGTGTCTTGGGCGCGCATTACGGTGGCAGGGAGGTCGAGTATCGGTTGGAGAGGCGGCAGGTCGTCCGTGGTGCCTTTGTTCACCGGAGTGAGGGCGTTCCAGGTGGCCTGGTTGCGCTCTCATTCTTCCGGAGCGGGTTCGCTAGGGGACCCCCACTCTACGATGTCGGATGGGATATTCCCCCAGGGGGGAAGGTGTTGCTGGCTGGTGGGGAGCAGGTCGTCCAGGGCGGTGGCGACCTCGATACTGGTGAGCTGGTCGAGGGCTACGTCGGCAGCTCGCACGAGCAGGGCCCGAAGGTCAGCGAGGCGTCCTTGGCGACGGCCTTCTGGCTAGCAGGGGCTCTGGCGCGTTGTACGAAGTTGTCGACCTTCTTCCAGACGTCGAACGCCTCTGTCACGATGCGGTATTCGTTGACGAGGGGCTCGGTATGGGGGATGTGTTGGGTACGGTAGCGGACGTGGCCGTGGAGTTCGGAGTGCACGACGTCCACCCGATGCGGTCTCCGAGGGTCCCGCGACTCTCGTTAGTGCGATAGAGAGTTGGAAGGTGGTCGTAGTTGACTTGGGGGCGGTTGTTGATGAAATCGGGGTGTTGTGGATGTCCGGTGTAGTGAGGCGGATGGGATAGAGGCGGGGAGCGCGACGAGGAGTAGAGCGGTGGTGGCGAGGCATCTGGAGAAGCGCATTCGAGTCGGGAGTGGGATGAGGGTCAGAGGAGC